GAGATCTACATGGAGGAGTTTTTCCGTGGCCGGGAAGTCTCTTTAAGGGACCTAAATAGACGCTCGAAGTGTCAGTATCTCTTCACGCTCTGATTACAATCTTTTTTTCTTTCGTGCAAACTTTTGTGCGAAAAGTTTTGTCGTCCCTTGTACTGTCACAAAGTCGTATTCAAAAAAGCGGAAAGGGCGATGAAAATTCAATTGATGCTTTCATTTACTTGGGAAAATAGTTACTTACAACAACAAGAAAGTTGTATAATTTGTTATGATATACAGGTAGCCCTCCTACAACGCGGCATCCTATAACACGGTTTCGCTATAACACGGTTTCGCTCTAAGAAAATGCGATAAGAAAATTTCAAAAACCTTTGTACAACACTGTACTTCTACATGAGCAGTGACGACGAAGAAATTTATTAAATTAAAGCTGCGTTAAATTAAAATAATATTTCTGTTTCTTTTTTGTTTTGCGTTACACGTACATTTATATCTTTAATAAAAATTAAGTTGTTTATGTAGAATTAGAAAAGAAATTTGTTTTTAGTAAGTTTTCGGAACCTAACCCCCCTTTTTGTACTGTCTCTGGGTCTCATACAACACGGTTTCACGCAACACGGAATTTTCTAGGAACCTATCTACCGTGTTATAAGAGGGTTACCTGTACATACTTATACAGTTTTACGCGAATTAAAAAATTAAAATCGGAATCCTCTGGATAAGTGAATTTTCTTGCAACATGGCGTGCCGATATTTCTTTTATCCATAGTCATTTTGCCAAAATCTTATAATTTCGATTAATCGCTGTAACGTTATTATATCCTTTTCGTTCGCGATAGAGATATAAAAGCTTGGGAGTTTGTACAAATTTCACGCCTGTTGGGTCACATTTCTGCGACACGTGTTCTCGAAAACCTTCATATTAGAACTTCATATCAGAGGAGTCCAATATCGTGACTTCGATACCGCACGGTGAAAAACTGTGAAATATAATTTTCGCGTAGAATTAATTCTTTGCACTCGAGAGGCGATCTTCAGTCACAATTCGATAAAATTTCGAAGATCGATATTAATCGATGTATTAAATTCAAGACACGGAGGCGACCATTTTCGACGCGGTCCTCCGAAGCCATTCGGCGCGAGATTTGATTTCTAGCGTTGACCGATATTAGCGGTGGTGGGGGTAGGACGCGTAGCGCCACCGTCTAGCGTTGCGCGAACGATAGCCAGAGAAGCAAACAAGGCGAATTTATAATCGACCGTAACTCGAGCCAGTTTACGGTTTTCGATCAGTCACAATTCGATAAAATTTCGAAGATCGATATTAATCGATGTATTAAATTCAAGACACGGAGGCGACCATTTTCGACGCGGTCCTCCGAAGCCATTCGGCGCGAGATTTGATTTCTAGCGTTGACCGATATTAGCGGTGGTGGGGGTAGGACGCGTAGCGCCACCGTCTAGCGTTGCGCGAACGATAGCCAGAGAAGCAAACAAGGCGAATTTATAATCGACCGTAACTCGAGCCAGTTTACGGTTTTCGATCTGCCGGTTACGTTGGCTATCTGCTGTAATCGATCTCGGCACCACGTAACCACGTGTTTAGTAACTTTCTCGCCGCCACCTTGTACCTACTCGCAGGTTCCTCGTATCTCTGTCGATCTGTCGCTTCCCTCTCTCTCTCGCTTCTACTTTCCCTCTCGATCTCTTTCCTCCCTCTTTTTCTCCACTCTTCCACACAGCTTCGAGACTCCTTTCTTCCTTTTGGAATGCTTACAAATCTTACGGTCTTTACGTAACGTCCGTAACCGATGGGGAAAGAACGAAAGAGAAATTCGTGCGATTTAATAATCGAACGAGCCCGATTCGATTTTAGGACCGGCATAATCCAAGTCCAATTCTCCGATTTACCTTCGCCATAAGTTAATAGCTTGTATTATCGATAGCTGTCTCGCGATCGATCACTTATGCCAGGTTAGCTCGCCTTATCGAGCCGGCTCGGGTTTATTTGCACGTAGTCGGGTAACTCGAAACAATAACTCGCGTTGAGCAATAGCGCCAGTAGCCGACATGTCTGGAATATGTCGGGTGTATCGGTAGCAGCGAAATTGCACGTTAGAATCATCGTTCGATGATTTGCGAAAGCGCCCCACGAAACGACGAGGAATTCCGTCGCGTCGTTGCGTAAGGTTGCGCATTAATCTTGTGACATGCTCGGGACAACAGGAAAACAGACAGGAAAACGGACAGGAAAAGGAACGAAACACGCGTCCACGGGACAGATATACGTATATACGTGAAAATAAAAAGACAATTGATCACGCCTCGATATAATGTTACGTGTCAATGGGTCTTCCGTGCGCACATATTTGACGGTTACGTCAGGGATTATGGCGGAGGGCAGAGGGCAAGGAATTTCAATATTAAAATGTCTCAGAAATTTCCTGCCGAACCGTGTGTCAGAATTATGACACTGTTTGCATAAAGGCGAACCACCTTCGACCTCGTTCTCGTCATCCAAATCTCAGCATTTTCCGTCGCATGCGCGAGTTCAACGCGTTCCCGCCGTTAGTCGCTGGTCGCGTTTTCGATTTCGTATTTCCGATCCCGGTGTTCAGTTGAAAATTTTCCAAGGATATTCCATCGAGGATATTCGCTCGAACGACGACGAGCCGATCGATCGGACGGAGGTATCGATCTGCGAGCGGTGATTTTTATCTATTTAGCTACTCGTTTTGCACCGTTCACACTTAAATGGCACAACGACACGTAATCAGTCCACGGCACACATAGAAAGTGGCCTTGCAAAGTCGGTAAGCAGAAAAGAGAAAAAGTCCCTAGCCTTTGTATTTAACGCGGCGACGCTCTCAGCGGCCCGAGTAATTTCTAATCGGTCCACGTGTCGTGCATAGCAGGTAATAACTCTCGTTATCCGTCTCGTTGAACATCGCAATTCGACTCCGGTCGTGTACGTATCGTCTCGCGTCTCCTCCATTTTTATTCCCCATTTTGTTCCCCATTTTATCACCTGTTTTCCTTTTCTTCTCTACTTTCTAACTTGCTTTCTTCATCTTCTGCTCTATTTTCTTCTCCAATTCACTTCCTTTCCCATTTTTCACGTTACTTTCTTCATTTTTTACTTCTCCATTTTTATTCTCCATTTTATATCTTGTTTTCCTTTTTCTTCTCATCGTTTTCTACCTTATTTTCTTCATCTTGTGCTCTGTTTTCTTCTCCAGTTCATTTTCTTCCCTATTTTCACGTTACTTTCTTTATTTTTTACTTCTCCATTTTTATTCTCTATTTTATACCTTATTTTCCTGTTTCTTCTCATCATTTTCTACCTTACATTCTTCACCTTCTGCTCTATTTTCTTCTCCAATTCACTTTCTTCCCCATTTTTCACGTTACTTTCTTCATTTTTTACATCTCCATTTTTATTCTCCATTTTATTTCTTATTTTCCTTTTTCTTCTCGCCATTTTGTACCCTACTTTCTTCATCTTTTGTTCTGTTTTCTTCAATTCACTGCCTTCCCCCCTTTTCACGTTACTTTCTTCATTTTTTACTTCTCCATTTTTATTCTCCATTTTATATCTTGTTTCCCTTTTTCTTCTTATCGTTTTCTACCTTACATTCTTCATCTTTTGCTCTATTTTCTTCTCCAATTCACTTTCTTCCCCATTTTTCACGTTATTTTATTCATTTTTTACATCTCCATATTTATTCTCCATTTTATTTCCTATTTTCCTTTTTCTTCTCACCATTTTGTACCCTACTTTCTTCATCTTTTGCTCTGTTTTCTTCAATTCACTTCCTTCCCCCCTTTTCACGTTACTTTCTTCATTTTTTACTTCTCCATTTTTATTCTCCATTTTATTTCCCATTTTCCTTTTTCTTCTCACCATTTTCTACCCTACTTTCTTTATCTTCTGCTCTATTTTCTTCTCCGCTTCCTCCCCTATCTTCCGCGTTATTTTCTTTCTTTTTCAACATTTTTCCCTCATCTTTCCTATTTTCTTGCACGATAAGGTCCCAGAGCCACGTGCCTAGCACGTTCCCGTTCCAATTAACCGGGCATTCTCCATCGAGCCGGTCGCGATCGGTAACACCGGCCGTATGAAAAACTTGCAAGCGAGACAATTTCGTGAAAGCGGCAATCGACGATCGCGTTCTCATCGCGCGAAATTCGGTGACCCGATTCCGGCCTGCAGGCCGCGGATAATCGAGTATGCATTAATTCGAAGAGGCTTAATACCGCGGCTTCATTCACCCCGCGTAATCGATCGATTAGCACACACTCGTCGGCCTCCTTTTTCGTTGCAGTTACATTTCACGAGGAACCAATGAAAGTTCCTTAGAAAAGGAAGTTAAGTAACCGAACCGGTCGTTACATCGACCGTGTTCCACGGTATTCGATGTTTTAATCTCCACTCGGATGGTTTCTTGGGCAACCGGCGTAATCACGGTGACCGCTCGTTTTTCTTCCTACGGATTTCTACCGATCGCGGTGAAAAGAAGAGGGGAAGGAAACGGGGGGTCACGGGGGCGAAAGAGGGGGGAAAAACGGACAAAAGGAGAGACACGGTGCGTGGATTCTGAAATTCCAGCGATCGTTGGGACGATTCATCGTTTCGCCGGTGCAACTTTCTCGAAAGTCAACGGACGACCCGGAAACGCGTCGGAAAATCCGTACGAGCGCGTTTAAAAGGCAAAGCGATCGATGCGCCTTTGCACTTCCGCGAAAACCAGTTTACGCACAGGCTACGTGAAGCGAATAGATAGTACCCGCGCCTGTTTGTCCCTTTAGTCGCGTCTCGCGCTGGCCCGAACACCGATCCTCGCGATCTAGGATCTCGATAACCCTCTAACGAGAGACTCTCACGTCGCACTTTCTCGTGGACCAGCATCCGAGAAGGGTGCGACGTGAGAGAAATTCGGCGAATTTCGATGCCTGTAATCAGGATAGAACAAACCTGACAGGATTTTCGTTTCTGATTGCAGAGTCGAGCCAAGATGACAGCCATAGTGACGGATCTGGTGCACGGTTACAGGGATCTGATGGATAACAAGTCCGGTAAGATGATCTTTCTTTCGAAACCTTAAGCAAATTCGCGGTGGCAAAGGGCAAAAGCGAGGCTCGATCGGTTCCCTGGGGTCTATGACATTTAACTGGGTCGGTCTCAGCCACGACCGTGCTAAAAATCAAAAACGAGCCGCGATAAGACCAGGTGGTGTCTGATTCGTACCAGCGAGATCGAATCTCCTTGGACCGATACCTAGAACGCGGGTAGAGCGATGGTGAGAGGCAAGATCCATCTTGGGAGAGACGTGTCTCTTGATCGGGGATGGGAAATAAGTCGAATTGGACACTCCTCCGATCCTGGTTAGCCTCTGCGCGATTTTCCCCGATTTTGCCCGATACGCCGAACGATTTCACTCGATGCAACCGGGCAGCTAACGAATTCATAGAGCGAACTCGGCGAGTTGGTACAAAACAGGAAGCAGAAGCTTGGTTTTCAGTGGGAAATAATTCGATGGGGCGATAAGGTTTTCTCACGTATCGTTTCGTGAGCGATGAAAGCGGAGAAATGCGTCGAATAATTTGCTTTCGTAACGTCCTTCGAACGAGGACACACGGGTCTACGCGCGATTGGAAGAGCAGCACACACGAGACAGAGGAGAGGCGTATTTGTCGTGCATATTTTCAAAATGACCTCCCGCTGCTCGAACGCGCGTGTGTCAATAAAGTGTCGTAACGTCGCTTCCATCTCGTTCCCAATTTCCCTATTCTTGAACCCCATTCAGGTGAACGTCATCCTGCCGCTTCGAGCCGACGTTATTGGCCAAACGGAAAGGAGGAAAAGAGAAAAAAAGGAATGTCCGCTCGCGTCAGCGTTTCCCACATCGATTCACTCGGGTCGTACCTTTTTTGGCGGAAACCAGCGCGATCTTCCTCTCGGTTCTTTGAGAATTCCAGCTTTCCATTCCTCTCTCTCTCTATCTATCTCTCTCTCCCTCTCTCATCCCTGTTCGTTCGCTGAGAATCGCTACGAATAACTTCCTTCCCTCGACCAAGCGAGACATGTCATCGATTGCTCCCGATGTCCTCATCATTTCGCCGTTTATTATAAAGAATATCTACGCGTATATCAGGAAGGAAGCAACGAGTGGAGGAGGTTGAAAGGTATTCCGATCTCTGGAAGGAGCTCGGAACGAGATCTCTCACTCGTTAGTTGCGTCCCCTTTCGCGGAATATCTAGAGATACATGGTAGACAGTGTAATCAGGTGAAGCTTCTTCGCGATGATTCGTTAGAATCGCTGAAATTAACAGATATACCGGGGCTGGACGGTGATTTAGGTAATTGCGTCGACCAGCCTTCTTGGATTGATCAACCTTCGTGGATTGATTCGCGAAGAGGCCTGCTGTGTAATCACGAGACTCACGAGCGGTTAAGAGGCTCAAATTGATCGGCCCTCTTTTCATGTTCCCATGCTACACGGTACATGGATTATCGATTTAATGCCGGCAAGCCAGTAGGCCGTGTTTTCCGCTAATTGTATCCCGTGTAGACCAAGAGACGCCCTTGCCTGATTACACCGGGGCTGCTGTGCCGCTGGAATCCGTTCTTGCATTTATGTCTCTGGGACTAATGACGGGAGCCGAAGTAAAATTAACAACCTCTGTGTATTTCGAAAGCCAATGCACGATACATCGCCATAGTGTACTCGACGCGAAAGGAGAATGTGACCCATCGAGACGCTCCTCTTAGGTCCGTGAAGACTGAACTCCAACTCATTCGTTGGAAACACCGCGTCTCGATAGCCGTGTCAACACGCGTGATTGTTGAATAAGCAGACTGACGGATTGCAAAATTTCATGCCCATGCAGATTTATGTTGCTCGGTGTCGTGTCGAAAAAATATGTGCACGTGTGCGCAAACGTGTGCGTTACCCTGAGTGGCTTTGCAATCATTTGGCCTCATTACCCAATCGAGACGCAGCTCGACGAAGCTCGACAGCCAGCTGACTTTCGGGATACAGTGCTTCCAGCTATTGTGTCCCAGCCTGCGCTGCTCTTTATGCGATCAACGATGATCGCCGTTCTTCAGCACTTCAGCCTAAGCTGGATACGTCTACCTCGGTCTCGGCGTCTCGTGACCCACACGAACATGTGTCACATGTTCGATGCTCATTCGACTAAACGTTCTCGCTACAATCGCGTCCACCGTGCCGGTTATAATAAGATCATGCCGGGATTTTGCTGCTCGCATCACCCGTGTGCTCGATACGAAAATTTTCGTTCGCGCGTAAAACGCTGGAGACCGGAGCGTTGTGAATATCGCGACGTTATCGAGTGGATCTTGGAATAGACTTTACCCCGAGACCCTATCATCGAGAGAGAGGCTGCCTTTAAATATTTTCGTACGTGCCTTATCGAGATACTGCAACGGAGCACGTTCTTAATCGTTCCGTTTCGATTTTAGGTTACGAGTGTCGCAACGCCGATTCCAACGTGTTGCAATGCCACTTTTCGTCGCGGAATTGCGACAGCTCGGTCAGTTTTGTTTTAATTTAGATTAGCAAATGCCGAGAAATGCGGACGGGTTTCGTTTTTCCGGATGAAAACAGAACCGAAGATTGCTCGTGGCAAAATTCACGCGAAAGAAACAAATGCGTGCCGTGAGCTGACGCAATGCCACTTTTCGTCATAAAATATCGGTTGCATGGTAGCACTCGCGTCGATTTACGTTGGCGAATGCCGAACAACGCGATTAAGTTTTATTTTTCTTAAATATCAGTGAAACCGCAAGCAAAAGCCCAACGCATCAACTACGTTTCGCGACGCGTAGCAAATGGCACTTTTCGTCATGAAATACGAACACCGCTGCCTCTCGCCTTTAATTTGTATCGGTAGATACCGAACAACGCGATTGGACTCCATTCTTCTCAAGTATTAACAAAGTCGAGGACTATTCGCGATAGAATTCGAATACACTGATAATTTCACATAGAGACGCGTCACAATGGCACTTTGCGTCACGAAATCCGAACACCGTGGTCCTTTACGTTTAATTTATATAGATAGACACCGAGCAACGCGATTGGACTCCATTTTCCTCAAGTATTAACAAAGTCGAGGACTATTCGCGATAGAATTCGAATCCACTGATAATTTCAAATAGAGACGCGTCACAATGGCACTTTGCGTCACGAAATCCGAACACCGTGGTCCTTTACGTTTAATTTATATAGATAGACACCGAGCAACGCGATTGGACTCCATTTTCCTCAAGTATTAACAAAGTCAAGGACTATTCGCGATAGAATTCGAATACACTGATAATTTCAAATAGAGGCGCGTCACAATGGCACTTTGCGTCACAAAATCCGAACACCGTGGTCTTTTACGTTTAATATATATAGATAGACACCGAGCAACGCGATTGGACTCCATTCTTCTCAAGTATTAACAAAGTCGAGGACTATTCGCGATAGAATTCGAATACACTGATAATTTCACATAGAGGCGCGTCACAATGGCACTTTGCGTCACGAAATCCGAACACCGTGGTCTTTTACGTTTAATATATATAGATAGACACCGAGCAACGCGATTGGACTCCATTTTCCTCAAGTATTAACAAAGTCGAGGACTATTCGCGATAGAATTCGAATACACTGATAATTTCACATAGAGACGCGTCACAATGGCACTTTGCGTCACAAAATCCGAACACCGTGGTCTTTTACGTTTAATATATATAGATAGACACCGAGCAACGCGATTGGACTCCATTCTTCTCAAGTATTAACAAAGTCGAGGACTATTCGCGATAGAATTCGAATACACTGATAATTTCACATAGAGGCGCGTCACAATGGCACTTTGCGTCACGAAATCCGAACACCGTGGTCTTTTACGTTTAATATATATAGATAGACACCGAGCAACGCGATTGGACTCCATTTTCCTCAAGTATTAACAAAGTCGAGGACTATTCGCGATAGAATTCGAATACACTGATAATTTCACACCAGGACTTGACGCAATGTCACTTTTCGTCATAAAATAACCAACTTCGAGGTCTCGCTTTCGTCCATTTACGTTGGCGAATGCCAAGTAATGCGATTGAACTTTATTTTTCTCAAATATTAACAAAATTGGAGATGATTCACAATATAATTCAAATATACTGGTAATTTCACATCGGGATTTGACGCAATCGCACTTTTCGTCACGAAATCCGTGCACCGGTGAAACACTTAATGTCGCCTGTATAGCGACATACAATTGGAAAGGGTTAACACTATAGCACCCCTTCCAGCAAGATTCCAGTTTTCGCTATCAACGCAACGGTTGACAGATTCCTTGACAAATCATCCTGCCTAGTTCTCCAACGTTCAAACTTTCCCGCCAAAACGCGGAGACTTCGAAATCCCATAGTAATCGTTTCAAACGTATTTAATTACGTTGACCTATCCAAGTTCCAATATTTTTTCCTAACTCGTCGAAAAGATGCCCTCGATTCGGTCAATAGTATTTCTTTCATCGCCCTACCAGCTTTGTCTTTCCATCCGCCTCGCGATTATTCGCTAAATAAAAACGCTCGACGAATCAGCGTCGCATCGGCTGACTGCTGCCACGGAGATAAAAATTGCACTTTCTTCGCGGAGGATGAGAAAAATGGCAGGCTCGCGACCAACGGTGTGCGTTCTTGCGCACGCTTCCGGTCATGTGAGCGCGGAGGTAATTCAGCGGAAGCTCCGGCGAGCGCCTCCCGCACGAACTCAGTCGCGCCATCTCGCGGAGGGTTGAATAAACAAAATGACCGAGAAATTTATCCAAGCTGACGTGCCACGCCGACACAGGACTCGAGCTGAATCTAGATTTTCCACGCCCTGGAATCGTTCTACTCGTCCCGCTGTTGCCGCGAGCGAAACGCCCCGTTATTGTCGAGACTCGTCCACCGTGCACGCAATGTGTCGTCCCGAGAATCAAGAACAACGAGGCCGGGTAAAAAGAGTCGCACGTTGTATGAAACGTGTTTCGATAACGATTTCGCGCGTCCGTA